CCACCACGCTTCCCAAGCGGCGCACTATAGCAGTGCGCCACCGGGCTGGCCCAACCCTCAGGATTCTTAATCACAAGTAGACATGCTTCATCTATGGATTGAACCACTAAGATCTGTATGATGGATCTTAACTTAAGAGTTCGTGACAGAAATTCCCAGCCAGGACTTTTATGCCCCTCTGGCTGCATGACCCAAGCCAGCCTGTCTAACCATTTACGCTAGGTGAAAGCCATCAGTGAAGACACCAACTCCAAGGGGGGAGTGGATCAGACTTTAAACAGCACATTGTAACTCCCACTGCCTTTATCTCTGCCAAGAGTCAAACTAGATACCCAGATGTCCCCAGAGATAAGCTTAAAATTGTCCTAGTCCAGCTATAAAATATCTCTGTCCTCCATAGCACTCCCTCTGTTGGCCAAGTGTTTTTAACTATAAATCACTCATTCTCAATTCTTCCTCTACATCACATAGAATACAACAAGCAAAAGTACACTCATCAAAATAATAAATACATGTATCATGAGATGTGGGTATTACTTTAAAGAATTTTGGATAAAAAATATTCCAGCACAAAGGTGTTTGTAATCATGCATAAGATGAGCAATTATTTTACCTTCTTCCACCAAGATTTGAACTCTAAGTAAGGTATCAATAGATTCATTCAATTCAAAAGTAATTCTAGTTTGGCTTCCAGCCGAATGTCTTTTATGGGGAGAACATCTTGTGGAGGTTTTAATTCAATTTCTCAATATATTTTATAATCTATATCAGTATTGTCATAGGTTTTTGTTAGAGTCCATCAAATTAATCTTACAAACTATACTAGTATTACACCAAATAGCATTACATCCTGAGTTTGTGATCACTACAAAATAAGTCAAAATTACAGTAGTATTTTCTCTACATTTCCCCCAAAATTGGCCCTTGCTCATATACCAAATACTGTCACAGAACTGGGTCTGAACCCAGGGCCAAGTGTCAGCCAGAGAAATTATATATTCCTATGAGGGCAGTGTACACACACTGGGGCCTACCCTTAATGAACGCAAATTGGCTTTGGCTTTCTTATGCAAAGGAAGGCCTGAGCCAAATCTAGTAGAGAACCCTGTTCTCTCTGATCTTGACACAGCTTTTAATTGTTGATACCATATCAGGCACAACTGATGATATGAGGGGCACCCATTTACTGAGTCCTTCATAGTCTATGGTTTACCTCTCAGATTCATCAGCTTTTCTTCCACGCCATACTGGACTATTAAACAGAAAATTTTAAGTAATAATACACCTGCATTGAAAAGATACTTAATTCAAGCCAACATTTATTTATTCCCCCACCCCAACCCTAGGTATCCTATTCTATTTTAAACTAACCACTTGAGTGAGTTTAGGTAATTCTAAAGGTTCCCATCCAGGATGCTCACTTAAAACAGGACTCAACAGATTTACATATCGCATCCATTCCAATAATGCATTAATGGTAAAGGTGAGGCAACAAACATTCATAATTTCTATCCTTAAATTCTGCTACGGGCCATGCTTTTTCACCCGCAAGCCTTCTCTGGTTGCATCACCATATTCTTGTAATTATACTGCCCTTTAGGTTTTCATTAGCTATTTTAACTTATAGCAACAATGATCATCAGCATTCAGCAATTGAGTTTTCTCACTGTCCCCAGACCATTTTACTCATACCAACGGAAGTGGATTTAGAATCCCTGCTGGAGCTCACAAGACCCTGACCTGCTAACCAGTCATAATACTCTCCATTTCCCTACCTGATTATAATCAGAACAGGCTCTGCAAAGATTATAGGTGCCTCCTTTTTACAATTTCCACATTTTAAAAAATTATCAAGACTAGGGTAAGCTGAGAGAATTAGTCCCAGTTCCTTGAAGAGTGATCCGTCAAAATTTTAGCAGCTACCCTATCTTCCTTCCCTTTTTAATGTCATTTTTAACCAACCACCTGAACAATTTTATCCACATAGTTGTCCTGGGGTTTCTTCCAACTTTTTCTATAGTTACCTTTCTTCTGAATAATCCTTACCTTTTCCCCCAGCATTAAGTTCCATTCAAGAGAGCTCAACAAGGCAATCCATAACATCATGCCTCATATCATGTTTCTCCCCTTTTATCATGACGTTAAGCAACTGGGTCAGAGGGATGGAGTTAGAGGTGTAGTATTGTACTTAATCCAGTCTATAATCCACAGCTCTAGCAGCCTTTAGCTGTTCTCTGGTACCTTTACATTTGCTAGAATGGAGAAGGGGGNCATGACGTTAAGCAACTGGGTCAGAGGGATGGAGTTAGAGGTGTAGTATTGTACTTAATCCACAGTCTATAATCCACAGCTCTAGCAGCCTTTAGCTGTTCTCTGGTACCTTTACATTTGCTAGAATGGAGAAGGGGGAAAAAAAAAAAAAAGCAAGCAGCCAAGGCACCATATTCTTGGCTGACTTCCTCTCAGTTTCAAGTCTATAATCCACAGCTCTAGCAGCCTTTAGCTGTTCTCTGGTACCTTTACATTTGCTAGAATGGAGAAGGGGGAAAAAAAAAAAAAGCAAGCAGCCAAGGCACCGTATTCTTGGCTGACTTCCTCTCAGTTTCAATTTCTTTTGCAATCCATTTAGTTATCCCACCTGACTTACAGACTCCAGGTCCCACTTACGTTTTTCCTCCTGTTTGTGAGTGCATCACTTGTGCAACCTTAACCCAAAGATGGCCTGACAGTCAACCTGTTAACAAAAATTCTTTCTCAGCACCCTCTGCCATCTTTCTTTCTGTCCAATAACCCCTTAGCCATTATTACTTGAATTACACTCAAGGGCCATATGAAATATCCCATCCTCATTACAAATGCAAAAACTTCACAAATGTAATTGAAAATACTTGCAAGACTCCATAGAGCATACTCAGGTGATGTTTCGTTAAAAGCAAAGGACATTGAGCAGCAAGAGAAAGAGAATGCATGCCCACGTTAGGGATCAGACAGATATCCAGGAACAGTTTCCCAGACTCATATTCACACACTGATGTGATTCGCTTCCAGATTGAGACACCAATACTTTAGTGATGAATCCTAGCTTCAGGAGAGCTTAGGTCAGACGATCCCAGCAGGGATTTTACACCCTTCTGGTAAAGTAGTCAAGCCAGAGTGCCTAACCAATTATGCCAAGTGGAAACTATCAGCAATCAAATTGGACCTCTGTGTTGTCATGGGATTTTCGGATGTTAAAGAGCACATAATACCATCATACTGTCCTCTCTGAAGCACAGAAAACTGGGGACTCCCATAAAAGCTGTTTACCCTTTCATGCTGATTAGAACATAACTGTTTCCTCAATACATTCTGTACAATGAACAGAACCCCCAAGATGAAAGGTGGTTTAAAGAAAAAGGCCTTTATTATTACACAAATATAAGCGATGTGAGTGAGGCAGGCAGTTCCAGGGCTGGGTGACTTGGAGACTGGATACATCCATAGTGAGCATCACATGAAATCAAAAAGTCCATGAAGATCAGCCTCTGCAAGCTACCTGCAGAACCTTTCTTGGGTCTTCTGGAAGAAAGGTGATTATTTCCATCATAAGGGAGGAGACGAGGACCCCCAATAGGCCATGATACCACTCATGACTCCTTCCAGAGACTGAGGAGAGAGCAGAGGTCTGCCTGCCATAAGCTGCTGGGATGACAGGAATACACCGCACAATACTGCCAGATAGTAGTGGTAAGATGGCTTCTGCTACTGGCAAAGACCCCTAGCAGTTAAGAAAGTGCAACAGAGCTCCTGAAAGCATCTCACATACTTGGCACTCATAGGGAATCTCCCCAGTGGATGTTCATGTGTATGAGGTTTCACCTCTCACTAATGGTTTCCCCTTTGTGGGCCAATCTCAAATCTTCACTCTGGGGTGAGCTATTAGGATGAACAAAGAGACAGCACATTCCCTATGCTGCCAGGGCCTTTGTCTAGTGTGAACTTTCTAATGGCAAATAAGGTTCAGCCTTTGGGTAAAGGATTTATTGCATCTGCTGCACTCATGATCACTGCTAGGACTTTTCCAGTGGGCAATAAATTAGGAGCACTGGCCAGAGGATTTCCCACATGCACTACACTCTTAAGTCTTATCTCCAGTGTGAACCTTCTGGTGCAAAACAAGTGTCTGTTTTCGGATGAACTCTTTCCCACATTCACTGCATACATAAGGCTTTTCTCCAGTATGAACTTTCCAGTGCCGAATAAGGCTTGGCCTTTGGGTGAAGGCTTTCCCGCATTTGCTGCACTCATAAGGCTTTTCTCCGGAGTGAACTTTTTGGTGCTGAATGAGTTTAGAGATGCAGCTAAAAGCTTTCCCACATCTACTGCATTCATAATCACTGCTATGAATTCTCCAGTGCACGTTAAGGTGGGAGCTCTGGCTAAAGGTCTTCCCACATTCACTGCATTCATAAGGCTTCTCTCCAGTGTGAGTTCTCCGGTGGAGAACAAGTGTGTGCTTGCGGCTAAACTCTTTCCCACATTCACTGCACACATAAGGCCTTGCTCCTGTGTGAACTTCCTGATGTCTAATGAGATTAGACTTACTGCTAAAGAATTTCCCACATTTGCCACACTGATAGAGCCTTTCACCTGTGTGAACTCGCCTGTGTTCAATAAGGCCAGATATTTGTCTAAAAAATTTCCCACATTCACTACACTCATAAGGCCTTTCTCCAGTGTGAACAGTCTGGTGTTTAAAGAGGTCATAGCTTTGGCTAAAGGATTTCCAACATTCACTACACTCATAAGGCCTTGCTCCAGTGTGAATTCTCTGATGCCGAGCAAGTGTGTCTTTGCGGGGGAATGCTTTCCCACATTCACTGCACTTGTGATACCTCTGCCCATTGCAAAAGCCTTCCCCAAGCTTGGTGCTCTTGTGGAGCTTCATCCTGCTATGAAGGGCCTGGTGCTGAAGAAGACCAGAGGTGGCTGGGAAGTCCATTCTGCCCTTCCCACATGTATAGCTCTTCTCTGGCACATAGTCTCTGCAGTATTTCACAGAATCCCTGCCCTTATTCTTTCTGAAGGATTTCTCTCCACTGCACGGCTTTTGGTGCTGGTGAACATTTATACTGAACCAAAATTGCTTCCCACATGCCCCACATGTATGTGGTTTCTGCTTGGCTTTTTCCCCCTGGTATTCAGTCAAGTGTAAGATATCTTTCAATATTGGGCCACACATGTCACATGGATGGGTCTTCAGATCTTCCATAAGAGTCCTAACCTGTGACACTCCTTCTAAGGAAACACTCTGCTCAGAGAAGGCCTCCTCATCCTCCACACCACGCCAACAATCTGAAAGCACAGAAATGTTGATGAAATGCATGATGACTTTGGTAGGAGGGGGCAATCCCATCATTAATGTGTGTCTGACACACCCAGGAAAGAGTCCTGTATTCAGGATAAGGCTTGAGCATGTTGAGGAATGGGCTGCTATGAGGTACTGGGCTTCCGAAGGTCACATAGTAGGGGAGGCCCAATGAAGGGCAAGAATATGAGGATGGGACACAGCACATGGCTTCCAGAAGGACCTTGACTGTTGGTGACATGTGAGAGTTATGCAGGATATGTCCAGGCCCGAAGAATATCTAACTACATGTGAGTGGTTGGTGTTCAAGGGCTATTTAAAGCTGTGCACACATCTCATGAACATTAAGTATAGGTCAACACAGTGGAAAAACGCAGGCAGAGTAGTGGAAAGGATGGGTGGGAGATAGAGGACAACAAGGTGAGGGATGGCAAGGAGCTAGAAGTCAGACTGGAAATGATAAGTCTCAGTGTCATGAATGGGGAAAGAAAGGTAAAAACACTGTGTGGCCACAGGTCTTGAAACCACACTCTGGTGTGTAAACAGTTAATGTCACTAGTTTTGATTCCAGCCTTGAAATTGTGCCCTTCCCTGACATTCACTGACCAGGTCCAGGTCCCCTCTGGGTCTCTCTTTCTGTGGCTAGAGTCAGATCCACCTGGTAAGGCACCCAGGGCTCTTCCCCTTGTTCTAGTTTCATCACTACATGTGATCTAGAAAATGCAATTCCTAAAGGAAAGCCAGGAAAGGTGAGCAGCCAGCACTGGCCCAGAGCAACCCACCCTCTGACAGGCCACAGGTGAAAAAATTATTGTTACAAAAAAAAATCTCAAAGGAAGGTTTTGTAGGAATAGCCCAAAGGTCCCCATAAGTAGTGATTATGTGAGCCTTTACAATTCTTGGCACAGTTAGGCTCCAGAAAATGTCACCTGGAGGGAAGGGTAGAACCTTGGGCACAAAGGTGCCATAATTTTGGACAGATCCACCAGCCCAGAAAGTGACCAAACCTAATGAGATCCAATGGGGAAACCACAAGTCTTGTGATGCCAAACCTCGGCTGCATGGCTTCAGGGCTGTTCATCAAGTGAGAACACTCCATACAGTTTAGCCACAGGACCGATGACACCTACTCCCAGAAACCAGTGAAGGAAACAGTTCTTATGATCCAACCCAGGAAAGGGTCCCTGGGGAAAAGGAGAAAGGCAACGTGGGATGGGTGTAAGGAACTTACCAAGTGAGGCTAAAAGTGCAAAGTTCTCCAGCATCACATCACGGTACAGGAGTCTCTGAGCATTGTCAAGGAGCCTCCATTCCTCCCGGGAGAAGTAAACAAACACGTCCTCGAAGATCACATAGCTCTGCCGTGACAGGGATAGCAAGGTCCATGAAAAGTCTCTCAACCAATGATCCCCCATCTATCTACCCACAACAATGCCCTACACACCCAGTTCCATGCGTCCCCAAGTCAGAGGAGATACCAGGCACTGCTACCATTGGTCCTTGCTCTCTCCTGATTACCCCCAAGATCACTGTATCAGCCCATAGCAACAACAGGCAAGTTAAGTGATAAATGCCTTTGACACTCTGAGCCTGGCACACAGAGGTCCACCTTCTCTCCCACCAGCTAATTCCCCTGGGGTATGCCAGATCATGCCTCCCAGACATAAACATGTGCTCACTCCTCTCACTTATGCCCCCAATAACAGGGACCTAGGACCATCAGTTCACACTCCCTCTTCTCATGCACATCCCTCTTTGGACCACATCTCCTGCACATCTCCAGCTACCCTCCACCACCCTTCTAGCCCTCAACATGGATATACTCTTGGACTTCTCAAATGTTACTCTATCCACAGCATTGACAGAGTGCTTCACAATACAATCAGTATCCTATCTTACCCCAATCTCCAATGGACCCTTCTAGCCCTCAACATGGATATACTCTTGGACTTCTCAAATGTTACTCTATCGACAGCATTGACAGAGTGCTTCACAATACAATCAGTATCCTATCTTACCCCAATCTCCAATGGCCCCATTGCCAAAGAAAGCTCCCATTCCTGCTCTGAAAGCCTCCCAATCTGGCCCTATTCCTTTCTTCAATCATGGGCACCCAAACCCACATAAAGATCTTAGGTACCCTCTACCCTTTCCTTTTCTCTGTTACATATATATGAGGGCACTTCAAACAGTTCACGGAAAGATTCATATTATCTTTTATTTCTATTTTTCCACAAACATTTGAAGTACCCTTGTATTAGTTTCCTATTGCTGCTGTAACAAATTACTACTAACTTTATAACTTAAAACTAAAGAAATTTATCATCTTACAGTTCTAGGCTAAAATCAAGATGTCAACTAGATTGTGTTCCTTCTGGCAGCTCTAGAGGAGAGTCTACTCTTTCATCTTTTCCAACTTTTAGAGACTCCCTACATTCCTTGCCTCCTGGGCCCTTTCTCTGTCTTCATCGCAAGCAACACTTTTTTATTTTTCATTTTATTTTATTTTGTCAATATACAATGTGGTTGATTATTGTGGCCAATTACCGAAACCTCCCTCCCTCCTCCCTCTCCCCCCTCCCTCTCAACAACCTCATATCTGTTCGCTTCTCGTATCAACTTCAAGGAATTGTAATTGTTGTGTCTTCTTCCCTCCCCACCCCCAAGGTTATTTGTGTATTTATTTATTTTTAGCTCCCACAAATAAGTGAGAACATGTGATATTTCTCTTTCTGTTCCTGCTTGTTTTGCTTTATATAATTCTCTCTAGGTCCATCCATGTTATTGCAAATGGCAGTACTTCATTCTTTTTTATAGCAGAGTAGTATTCCACTGTGTAGATATACCACATATTCCATATCCACTCATCTGATGATGGACATTTGGGCTGGTTCCAACTCTTGGCTATTGTAAAGAGTGCTGCAATGAACATTGGGGAACAGGTATACCTTCAACTTGATGATTTCCATTCCTCTGGGTATATTCCCAGCAGTGGGATAGCTGGGTCATATGGTAGATCTATCTGCAATTGTTTGAGGAACCTCCATACCATTTTCCATAGAGGCTGCACCATTTTGCAGTCCCACCAACAATGTATGAGGGTTCCTTTTTCTCTGTAACCTCGCCAGCATTTATCATTCACAGTCTTTTGGATATTAACCATCCTAACTGGGGATCGATGGTATCTCAGTGTGCTTTTGATTTGCATTTCCCTAATGCTGAGTGATGTTAAGCATTTTTTCATGTGTCTGTTGGCCATTCGTATATCTTCGTTTGAGAAATGCCTATTTAGCTCTTTTGCCCATTTTTTAATTGGGTTTCTTGTTTTCTTGTTGTGAAGTTGTTTGAGTTCCTTGTATATTCTGAATATTAATCCTTTGTCAGATGTATATTTTGCAAATATTTTCCCCTACTCTGTTGGTTGTCTTTTAATTCTGTTACTTGTTTCTTTTGCTGTGCAGAGGCTTTTTAGTTTGATAGAATCCCATTTATTTTCCCTTTAGTTGCCTGTGCTTTTGGGGTCATATTCAGGAAGTCAGTGCCCAGTCCTACTTCCTGAAGTGTTTCTCTTATGCTTTGTTAAAGAAGTTTTATTGTTTCAGGGTGTATATTTAATTCTTTAATCGATTTTGAGTTGATTTTAGTATACGGTGAGAGGTATGGGTCTCGTTTCATTCTCCTGCATATGGATATCCAGTTCTCCCAGCACCATTTGCTAAAGAGGCAGTCTCTTCCCCAGTGTATAGGCTTGGTGCCTTTGTCAAAGATCAGATGTCTGTAGGTGTGTGGGTTGATATCTAGATTCTCTACTCTATTCCATTGATCAGTGTGTCTGTTTTTATGTCAGTACCATGCTGTTTTGGTTATTATAGCTTTGTAGTATGGTTTAGAGCCAGGTAGTGTTATGCCTCCAGCTTTATTTTACTTTTTTTGCTCAGAATTGCTTTGGCTATGTGTGGTCTTTTGTTAGTCCATATAAATGTCTGGGTAGTTTTTTCCATTTCTGAGAAAAATGTCATTGGAATTTTGATGGGGATTGCATTGAATTTGTATGTCCCTTTGGGTAGTATGGACATTTTCACAATGTTGATTCTTCCAATCCAAGAGCATGGGATATCTTTTCATCTTCCTGTGTCCTCTTTAATTCCTCTCAGCAGTGGTTTGTAGTTCTCATTATAAAGATTTTTCACATCCTTGGTTAACTCTATTCCTAAGTATTTTATTTTCTTGGTGGCTATTGTAAATGGGCAAGCTTTCTTGATTTCTCTTTCTGCATGTTCACTATTGGAGAAGAGAAATGCTACTGATTTTTGTGTGTTGATTTTGTATCCTGCTACTTTGCTGAAATCATTTATCAACTCCAAGAGTTTTTTTGTAGAGGCTTTAGGCTGTTTAATATATAGAATCATGTCATCTACAAACAGGGACAGTTTGACTTCATCCTTTCCAATCTGGATGCCCTTTATTTCCTTCTCTTCTCTGATTGCTCTGGCTAGTACTTCCAACACTACGTTGAATAGGAGTGGTGAGAGTGGGCATCCTTCTCTACTTCCTGTTCTTAAAGGAAAAGCTTTCAGCTTTTCCCCATTCTAGATGATATTGGCAGTGGGTTTACCATATATGGCTTTAATTATTTTGAGATACGTTCCATCTATACCTAACATGTAGAGAGTCTTCATCATGAATGAGAGTTGGATTTTATCAAATGCTTTTTCAGCATCTATAGAGATGATCATATGGTTCTTGTGTTTGCTTTATTGATATGGTGCATCACATTTATTGACTTGCATATGTTGAACCAACCTTGAATCGCTGAGATTAATCCCACTTGATTATGGTGTATATTTTTGCATATTTGTTGCTGTATTCTGTTAGCTAGTATTTTACTGAGGATTTTTGCATCTACATTCATCAAGGATATTGACTTGTAGCTTTCTTTTTTAGTTGTATCTTTACCTTGTTTTGGTATCAGGGTTATGTTTGCTTCATAGAATGAGTCTGGGGAACTTGCCTCTGTTTCAACTTTTTGGAATAGTTTGTAGAGAATTGGTGTCAATTCCTCTTTGAATGTTTGGTAGAATTCTGCTGTGAATCCATCTGGTCCTGGGCTTTTCTTTGTTGGGTGCCTTCTGATAACAGCTTCTATCTCTTTTATTGTGATTGGTCTGTTCAAATTTTCTACATTTTCTTGGCTCAGTTTTGGTAGCTTGTGTGTGTCCAGAAATTTATCCATTTCCGCCTGATTTTCAAATTTGTTGGCATATAGTTGTTTATGGTAGTCTTGAATGGTTCCTTGTATTTCAGAGGTATCAGTTGTAATATCACCTTTTCATTTCTAATTGTTGTTATGTGGGTTTTCTCTCTCCTTTTTTAGTTAGCCATGCTAATGTTTTGTCAATTTTATTTTTTCTAAAAACCAACTTTATGATTGATTAATCTTTTGTATCATTTTTGGAGTTTCAATTTCATTAAGTTCTGCTCTGATCTTAATGATTTCTTTCCGTCTTCTAACTTTGGGTTTGGATTGTTCTTGTTTTTCTAGTTCTTTAAGGTGAGGTGTTAGGTTGTTCACCTGCCATCTTGCCATTCTTCTGAAGTAAGCATTTAATGTGATAAATTTCCCCATTAGTACTGGTTTTGCAGTATCCCACAGGTTTTGGTATGATGGATCATTGTTTTCGTTAGTTTCAATAAGTTTTTTGATTTCCTGTTTCATTGCATCTTGGACCCAGAGTCACTAAGTAGAGTGCTGTTTAATTTCCATGTGTTTGTATACTTTCCAGAATTTCGTTTGTTACTGATTTCTAATTTTAATCCCTTGTGGTCTGATAAAATATGTGGGATAACTCCAGGTTTTTGGAATTTGTTTAGACTTGATTTGTGACCTAACATGTGATCTATCCTGGAGAATGATCCATATGCTGATGAGAAGAATGAATATTCTGAGGTTGTTGGATGGAATGTTCTGTAGCTATCTGCCAAGTCGAATTCGTCTAGAGTATTGTTTAGATCTTGTGTTTCTCTGCTGATTATTTCTCTAGACGATCTGTCCAATATTGACAGTGGGGTGTTCAGGTACCCTGCTATCATGGGATTAGTATCTATTTCCTTCTTTAGGTCTAATAGAGTTTGCTTTATAAATCTGGCTGCTCCGACATTGGGTGCATATATATTTATGATGCTTATGTCTACTTGATGGATCAATCCTTTTATCATTATGTAGTGGCCCTCATTATCTCTTTCTATGGTTTTTAGTTTAAAGTCTATTTTACCAGATATAAGAATAGCTACTCCAGCTCGTTTTACATTTCTGTTTGCATGGTTAATCTTTTTCCATCCCTTCACTCTTAGTCTATGT